GTTGGAGGTTGCTGTGAGCTGTGATGCCACAGCACTCTACCCAGGGGAACAGCTTGAGGCTCTGTCTCAAAAAAAAAAAAAAAAAAAAGATGGAGACTTTACATCTTTTGTATTTTTCTGGATGAGTTAAAGAACATTCTCCTTAGTAAAATCTCTCAAGAATGGAAAAACAAGTATCCCATGTACTCAATACCGATTTGAAAGTAGTAGATGAACAGCTAGCTACAGGCCCACGTGAGAGAAAAACAGAAATTCAAGTAAGAAGGAAGGGGGGGGGAGGGGGCTTGGTAAGCTCCCACCTAACGGATACAACATAGGGGAATATGAAACACCTCCTGGATTAAGGACTCAGCTACCACTTGGATACTATCTAACAAATGTAGAAAATGTGACCCAATCATACATACCTTTATATTAACCCAAAATTTAAAAAGTAACTAGTTAGAGTTACTATTAAAGGAGGCTTCCAACCACCTGTTATACTTGTTCAAGTTCATTACCAGTAATCTCATGCCTTTGAACAAAGACTAAAGAGGCCTAGGATGTCCTGATACTGTTAGTGTCAAGCCAGCTGCGCACTCATTATGCGAACGTCATTTCACTTTAAAAATTGGAAATTGCTGTTCCCACTGGCTTCTCCGTAGTTGCCGCCTGGCTTCCCTTCTGCAGAAGAGGCCTATAACTTCTTCACTTTCAACTTTGATCCCGAACCCGAGGAACCAGAGGAAAAACCAAAGCCAAAACCCAGAGATGAAACTGGCCAAGAGGAGGAGAAAGGGGAGGAGGAACCACCCTCGCAGGAAGGAGCCGACAGAATGGTATTTAACACCTTGATGCTAACGGGGAGGGGAGGGACGTGCAGGGAGAAATGAGAAGCCATATCCCCGGGAGGGAGAGAGTGCTGGGGAGAAACCGGCCTCCCCGGCGGAGAGCCCGCCTGGGGCTTACCTGGAAACAGAAGTACCAGATTCCCCCACAGCTAGGGCAGTAAGGGCTTTGGTTGAATCTATCTTTGTTTTTTTTTTGGGGGGGGGGGAATACTGGAATAACATGGCTTGTGGATTTTTCTTGCTGGCCTGCACACAGCGATTAGTATTCGTCTCACACACAAAATGGATGCCTGTCCAAGGTGGATGAAGCCTCGGTCTCTGTCTTTCCACAGTCTCACACATCAGCAGCTTTTTCAGCCCAATATCTACCTACCTACCTAGGCTGCCGCTCAGATTCTGTCAGTGTGGGTGGTACGTGTGAGATAAAAGGAACGCACACCGCTGAGAAGTGGGCAAAGGTATTGAGTAGACAGGTCTTCAGAGAAGATGTGCAGATGGCCGGTCAGCACAAGAAAAGATGCTGAATGTCACTAATCGTTAGGGACACGCAAATCAAACCCCCAAGGAGATACCACTTCACACCCATTAGGATGTCTATTATCCAAAAACAAAACAAACCAAAAATAAATAAATAAATAAATAATAAAGGAAAGAGAAAATAAGTGTTACAGAGAGTGTAGAGAAATTGGACTTCTGTGCACAGCAGGCGAGCGGGTAAAATGGTCCAGCTGCTCTGAAAACAAAAATGTAATGAGCTATCCACTAATGATGGTGGTTCTTCAAACTTTAAACATGGAATTTTTGCAATAAGATCCAACAATTGTGTTCTGGGTATATATCCAAAAACACCGTAGTCAAGGACTTGAACATGAATTTGTGCACCTGTGTTCATAGCAGCGTTATTCACAGAGTCAAAAGGTGGAGGCAACACAAGCATCCATCATATCTGTCTGTCTATCTGTCTGTCTATCTATCTGTCTATCTAGCTGTCTGCCTGCCTGTCTGTCTGTCTAGCTGTCTGTCTGTCTGTCTAGCTGTCTATCTATCTGTCTGTCTATCTAGCTGTCTGTCTGTCTATCTGTCTGTCTGTCTATCTAGCTAGCTAGCTGTCTATCTACCTGTCTGTCTGTCTATCTATCTATCTAGCTGTCTGTCTGTCTAGCTGTCTGTCTGTCAGTCTAGCTGTCTGTCTAGCTGTCTATCTAGCTGTCTGTCTGTCTGTCTGTCTATCTACACACACATTCAGTTTAAAAAGGAAGGGAATTCTGACACAGGCTATAACACTGACGAACCTTGAAGACATTATGATAAGTGAAATAAGCCCATCACAAAATTATGCGACTTCACTTATATGGGATACCCAGAGTAGTCCAAATCGTAGAGACAGAACTTAGAGTAGGGGTGCCTGGGACTGGGAGAAGGAGAGGAGGGAGTTTTTGTTTAATGGGTATAGGGTTTCTGTCTGGGAAGGAAAGATGATTTGGAGATGGATGGTGACGATGGTTGCATGACAGCGTGAATGCACTTAATGCCACTGAACTGTACACCTGAGGATAGTTAAAGTGGCAAAGTTTAAGCTGTGAGTATTGCACAACATTAAAAAGAAAGGAAGACATACCTGGACCTTCCAGAATGTGCATAGTTGGCACATTCCTTTGCTTCACTTGTAACTTCCTCCCTTGAAAACTGCTTCCCAGAAATGTATTTTCTTACCTAGGTCTAGGGAAGCTTGGGAGTATTTTAGGCTAGTCCGTAATAATTGTTTTACAAATCAATCTTCAGCTTGTTCTTCTGTGGGGATATCCCATGAGGTTTCAGGCAGAATGACCAACTGCACAGCCCTGTGCAGGCTGAGCTGTGAGCCTTTGCCCTCACCATGGGGACCTCCTCACACTGCTGCTTCAGTGGCCCCTGACATGACAGCTGGCTTCCCCCCAAGTGAGTGATCTGGGAGAGAACCCAAGGAAGAGGTCATGGTGGTGCCTTCACAACCCAGTCTCACATCCCATCACTTCCACGCAGCCTTCTCATTGAAGCCAGCCCTGAGGCAGAGCGCTCTCTCACCAGAGGAGAGTCGGCTTCACCTTTTGAAAGTAGAAATCACAGTTCACGGGCATCTTAGGAAGTCACGGCACTTTCCTCCAAGGCCGCCACCTCTCCCCTCCCTTTGGCCTTTTCCCTCCTGGAAGCTCTCTGGTCCTATAACTGCCCTTTAAATCACGCACCCCTTTAACCTCTCCCTGAAGTCTGTGCAGGTTCCTGCCTGCCCGGACACTTCTTTAGTATTTTCATACTCAGAGGAAATTTAACCTTTCCGAACAAAGTTCCGCCCATCCTGGGCCCTCCCTCCAGCTTCTCGTGTCTGTCTTCTCTGCACTTTTTCTTGGCCTGACTTTGCTCACCACAAAGCAGAGGTGAGAGGCTGGGAGCATGGGAGGTCGCATGTACCGCTGTTTGCTGACTTTCTTTTTCCTTCTGTTTTGACATCCTCTGTCTTCCGGTTGAAAGCGCGGTTTCCATGTAGATCTGCTTTTCCCTTCTTACTGTTCTGGGTACTAGGGAAGACATGATCAGGAGGCAGGCAGCAAGGCTACCACCATTGCCTACAGCCAGCTGCAAGTCCCCACAGGCTTTTAAAAACTGTTGCTCAAAAGTGGATGCCAGGCTTAAATTTTTAAAAGAAGAAAGAGAAAGAGAAAAGGAATAGGAAGGGGAAGAAAGAGAGGGAAAAAAAAGAAATAGGAGGAAAAGTGTTTGAAAAATATTCAAACAAAATGTACTTTGACATTTGTGATTATAAGCCGCTATGCTTAGAATTTTTACATGCGTTGTTTAACTTTATCCTTACAAAGTGCAGAGAGGTAAGCTCTATTAATATACCCAGTTGGGGAAACTGAGGATCAGAAGGTTAAACAAGTTCTTTGAAGTCCCCCCAGGCAGTACAAGGTGAGCTAAGACTCAACCCCGGGCAGTCTGAGAGAAGGACGTGGAGTGCGCACCTGGCTGCCTTTTCCCCTGGGTTGGGGCCAGGTGGAAGGTTTAACTGCTACATATGAGTCCAAGTTCTTTAAATAAATATAAAAAGATAAGCACCTTCAAAGGAAGCCAGATTTGTTGGGAATGCGATTATTTTGCTTACCACTTCCCCCCGATCCAGCCTAACCTGGACATCAGCCAGGTGCGTGCCATAGTGAAGAACAATCAATGAAAACCCACTAATTAAATCCAAAAGTCATACAGTTCTATGCTTTCATTAAAAAGAAAGGAAAAGCTAACTTGACAGAACGCGTTTTGGATGAGTTGAGCAGCGAGTGTGTTTCTGAGTAAACTAAGAATCTGAGCATGACCGTCTCTCGTTCTGTCCACCACCTTGCAGGATGAGGAAGAGCTGGTCCAAGGTCAAGAGGCTGAGGACTTCCTGCTGGGCTTGGACCACAGGGCTGCGGACTTCCTGGCCGTCAGACCCGCAGACTATGAAAGCGCCCAGGTGCGGCTGCAGCGGGAGCAGGAAATGCTCTTCGTACCCAGCAGACGGACAGGTGCTTACCCTCCCGTTCCCTCACCCGGTCAGACTTTGTCATATTCCTTCTAGTAAAGTCAGGCTGGCGTGTAAGGAGGCCTCAGGTCCAGAACAGAGTCCAGTTTCTAATCTGATTTAATAACCGAGAATTATCTGAAGTCAAAAAAAGATAATGGAAAAAAAGTGGGAAAATAGAAAGTGGAAAAATAGCCCTTCGATGACACGTATTCGTAGGATATCAGAGAAATACCAGAGGGCTGTGGGAGCCCCTTCACCAAATTAGTGATGGGTTTGGGGGCTGAGAGTATGTGAGGACAGCCTCAAGTCTATCCCTTCCCCAGGGTTCCATCACCTGTGCGTTTTTTTTTTCATTGCACTGAAATGACCTTACATGACCTTTGTTTGCAGTTTCTGCCTTTGGCTCCCACACAGTAGTGGCCTGGCCTGGATCCTCAGAGTCTCCTAAGTGCCTGGTAGAGGAGGTTGTCACTAAAATGTATCCTATGAACCAATAAAAGAGTGAGTGACTACATGAGGTCATGGCCATGTTTACTTAAACTTCTTAATTTACAAAGCATGTCCTCATCCTTGACCTCATTGAATTCCCCCAGGGACAGACCTGCGTAGGTTATTATTATTATCTCTTTTGTACAGAAGGAAAGAGTTCAAAGAGCAGTGCCTGGCCCAGATTCACCCAGCTAAAGAGCTAAAACTAGTCCCTGGGTCCCTGGACTTGAACATTAATCTCTGCTCCGTATGCCCCATTGGTGACCGAGGTGGTAAATTATTTAAGTGTTATTCCCTTAAACACAGGGTCCTACAGCAGGATATTGCAAGCAAACCATTCATCTTTTCCTCCTTTCTGCTTCTAGAAGTGAATTTGGAAAATCTGCAGCCTCTAAGAACATAAATGGCATCTCTGGTGGTTCATTCACCAAAACGGCGGTTCGGTATGTTGGCGTTGGCAGTAATCTTTGTTATTTATGAACTCTCTAGTGCCTACCTATAAAAAACTTCCAGAAAATGTACAGCCCAGATTCCTGGAAGACGAAGGCCTTTACATCGGGGCGAGACCGGAGGTGGCTCGCGGTAACCAGAACATCATGGAGAACAGATTGCTGACGCAGGAGACCGTGAGTGTCCCCGCTGCACCCAAGGGTGGCCGGGCGGCCTGAACATACAATTTTCTTCCTAACAGAGCAGTCATTTCCCCTTGAGGTCGTCCACCTTACATCTACAGAAAATGGTTCATGGTTTTCTTCTGGACTTTTATCTCTCAGTCTATTTAGTGATCCTCAAATACCACCACCTCTCAACTGCTCAAAACCCATCTGGGCTTCTCTGGCTAAATCAGACACAGGCAATGTTTTCCCAACTCACAGAATTTTTTAATTGTCTATATAAACAATTTTAAATTGCACACGAACTTTGTGGACACCCTGTATGTATATCGAATATTCTCAATTTCAAGTTTTTGTCCTTTGTTTCCCCCCTTAAATCATTATTGAATAGAAAACACAATTTTTTTCTTAAGGATTCATTTTAAGCTTTTTTAAAAACTTTTTTTTTTTGCAGTTTTGGCCGGGGCCAGGCCTAAACCCACCACCCCTGGTATATGGGGCTGGTGCCCTACTCCTTGAGCCACAGGCGCCACCCTTTTAAAAACTTTTTTGGGGCGCCAGGGACTATATCTTAAATTAGTCTTGGGGAGTGTTAGGGAAGACTTGACTTCTGATAGCAACAGAGGCTTTTGAAATGTGTATGTTGACAGAGAATTGTCCTACAAACGTTTGCTAGGTCAATGACTTTCTGTCCAGTTAGAAGAAAATGTTGTCTTTCCCTCTGCTTGACCCACAGGGGAGAAGGTGGTTTGGAGATGATGGCAGGATCCTGGCACTGCCTAACCCCATCAAGCTGCTTCCTTCCAGGCCACCGGTGTTGACACAGGAGCAAAGCCCCACGGCGGAACTGGAGACCTTGTATAAGAAGGTAGACACTCTCCCCTCCCCATTTCTTTTTTTTTTTTTTTTGTAGAGACAGAGTCTCACTGTGCTGCTCTTGGTAGAGTGCAGTGTGTCACAGCTCACAGCAACCTTGGGCTTAGGCGATTCTCTTGCCTCAGCCTCCCAAGTAGCTGAGACTACAGGCGCCGGCCACAATGCCTGGTTATTTTTTTGTGGCAGTTTGGCCTGGGCCAGGTTCCAACCTGCCACCCTCAGTATGTGGGGCTGGAACCCTCCTCACTAAGCCGCAGGCGCCACCCCAATGCCTCTCCATTTCTAATGCATGAAGTTGAAAGTGCTTTGCCTTTTGAATAGCTTGGGGTGATGATTTATAACATTCCACTTTAATTTTGCTTTAATATTTAATACTATCTTACACAGAGTAAGCGGTGTGTGTATCGGGTCAGCATGAGACTGCCTTTGCTCAGGTGATCCCTTCTCAAACAAGGAGCCAGTTTCCCAGGCAGGAGTGACAGAGGCGGCCTCTCTGCACATCGCAGACAGCTGCCCACCCGCACCTTTCTCTTTTTACCTTCTCTTTTCCCTTCTGTTATCTCACACTTGCTGCAGGATTATTTCCCGCTTGCCATCTTTTTATTACATGGCTGAAGACCGTCTATCCTTGCAAACCCTTTTTACTGTCTTCTCATAAGCTGACCCTATGAAGTGGAGAAGGTCGTTACGACTGTCTTTTTGGGCACCAAGCTGCCTGATTTGAGTTCTCTCCTGCATCACTCATTGGGTGAACTTGCTCAGCCTCTCTGGGCCTCAGTTTCTTCCTCTGTGAAGTGGGCATCATAACAGCTGTGCAGATCAAATGCGATGATGATACGTAAGTGCTTAAAATAGAGTTTAGTAGGGTGGCGCCTGTGACTCAAAGGAGTAGGCTGCTGGCCTCATATGCCGGAGGTGGCAGGTTCAAACCCAGCCCCTGGCCAAAAACTGCAAAAAAAATAAAATAAAATAAAATAGAGCTTAGTAACAGCTGGCTCTCATTGAATCCAAGAGTTGCCTGCCCTCATATCCGTATTACTCTTGCTTTCCTGGGACCAGCTCCTTCAGAAACCCAGGTAATTTTAAGTTTGTAACATTTGACACTGACAAAGTATAACAGAATAGGAGGGTTATAACGATTACTCTGCAAAGCAGGGCGGTGAGCAGAGGATACTCAGCCTCGAGGGAAAGACTCGGTGGAGTCATGCTCCCCCTCCACTAATTAGGGCTTTGCCCTTCCAACTAGTGAGAGCTTTGAGGAGGCCCCTTCTCCTCTTGAGACCTGCTTCTTTAATTGAAAAATAGGAATAACAATAATTTTCTCTACTTCACTGGGTCATAGTGACCCCGCTTTGGAAGACCTTTATACCTGGCTGAGCTGCACTTAGAGTAGAATCACCGGCAATTCTTGGAACATGAGCTAGTGCAGAATGCAGATTTGGGGAAAGAGATTCGAAGTACCTGTGACCTAGGTAACATTTCAAGTAAATAGAACCATCCTACCAATGTTACTCACTAAAAAGTACAAGATGGAACCTGAGAGACACACCCCGAGTGAGCTCATAACTCTGGAACCCTGTGGTAGGAGGAACACAAGGCAAGAATTAGCAGTTGCAAAGCAATTAGAGAGGAATTTTCTATTGTCTACGCATTGGTGATTAGGCACGGATGTCTTTGTGAGGTGGACATTTTTAATTAATCCAGGTAATACGAGTTGCCATGGATACAAAATGGTCTCGTGCATATTAAGTACTTCTAACCAGTTTATAATTGAATACTTTTACGTGTGTTACAGAGGAAAGAAATAGCCCCCCACTGTTATAGTCTGAAGTAGGTGATTAATGAACAGAACTGATCTCTGAAAGACCCGGCAGGGCTTTCATAACACACAGAAGATCAGAGGAGAGTGATCCCCGCAGGAGTGGTCTCTCCTCCTCTGAATCCAAGTGGGGATTCTTGGGGGAAATTGTTGCTAAGGATTTCATGCTACCTCTAGATATATAAAAAAGGACAATGCTTACAACCAGAAGGATAAGAAACGGGGAGTCTTTCTTCCGAATGGGAAGGGAGTTGGGGTCCTTTGAATGGTCTAGGAGTCCTGAAAACTTCCTGTACATGCTTGAGCTGAGCTTAAAACAGAGCCCACCAGCAATTATTGGAACATGAGCTAACACAGATTTGGGAAGCAGATTTGGGAAAGTAAGCATGTTTTGGAAAGTACTGAGATATAGTCAATCCATTCCTATTCAACCCTAAAATATTTGTAAACACATTTCAGTTTTACAAGGACATTTAAAAAAAAATAGCTAAGTGGATCTTCTCATCAAAGACTGAATGTTATTTTATAGTGTAAAATTGATAGTTTATTATTATAAATGTAGGACATACTGTATCGGTGCCATATAGAAAACCATAAGTTTTCAATACATATTAATAGTCTACTAATCCCGGGGAGAGAAAAGCATAGAATTGAATAGCTAAAATGAAATAAACTCATATATTCTTACCCATGAAAACTAACACAAAGCCGGTCACAGCCCAGCACAAAGATAAATTAAATGGACTCATACATATGTGCTTTACTGTACGTGTAAACACTGGTCACTATCTTGCAAACACTGGTCACTATCTTGATGACTAACAGTACTGAATATCAGCTCACGCTATAAAGCAAGGGGGACATGCATTCCCATGCATGTATCCACACACATACACAACATATCCTTCCTCTTTACCTCCTCTTTCTGTTCTTAGTCTGATAGGGAAGGATGTTAGAATTTTATGATCATAGGATTCTAATGCTAATTCTGGGTTTCTGTACCCCACATTCAGACCTAACCACTTAGATCCCAAGGCTGTCTTCCCCTCTCAATTCACTGCTGCGTGAAGACAGGCTCTGCTGCACTGGACGTCCTTTAATCTTTGTTGAATAAGTGAGATGACATATGAGGTGTCACAATTACATTCGCAAACGCATCCTAGAAAAAGTGCTACAGAGCTCGTTGCTGAATGTCAGCAGGGTCATCTTTAAAGAACTCCCCTGGGAAGCCAGGCACGTTGACACCAGAGCCTAGTCCACCCTTCAAAGCGATTGCAGAACACTTTTTTTGGAACAGCCTTTAGAGCTGTTGTCACGTGGCACAGCTCAGTATTGAACACCTCAGCAAGACACAGTCACAGGTGGACATGAACACAGCTGTGGGACCCTGGCATACCAAGGTGATGAAATCTTACCGAGCTGTTTGTACAGTGCTGCCAACAAGCTCTCGGTGGCAAGCTCCCAAACTGTCAGACCTCACACCATGGTAGCTCTGATGGTGGTCATTCCAGAAAAAGAGTTTCAACATGGCCTTGAAGAGTGGACTAGGGAATACTTTGGAGGTGACTGCAGTGACCTTCTGCAGTGACGTATGTAGCACTTTTTCTAGGATGAGCTCCTGACCTTAATTGTCCTCAAATGGGAAATGCTTGATGTGATGTCTGGTAATCTACAAATGCTAATTGAATCTCTTCCTCAGCCCACAGTTTCTACAGATGGAAAAACAGAGGCTCAGAGACATGTAGTGACTTGCCAATGATCTCAGAGCAATTTCCAGGCAGAGCCGGGGCTACTGTCCAAGGCTGCCAGCAGAAGTCCAGGATATCTACCATGAAAAGGAATTAAATGACATTACTGAATATGTTACCTACCCACAATTTAGGAGACATGAAAGCTTTAATTCTTTTTTTTTTTTAATTTTTGAGACAGAATCTCACTCTAGCTCACAGCAACCTCAAACTCCTATACTCAAATGATCCTGTGCCTCAGCCTCCTGAGTAGTTGAGACTACAGGTGCCCACCACCACATCCAGCTAATATTTCTATTTTTAGTAGAGATGGGGTCTTGCTCTTGCTCAGGCTGGTCTCAAACTTCTGAGCTCAATCAATCCGCCCTCCTTGGCCTCCCAGAAAGCTGGGATTACAGGTGGGAGCCACTGCGCCCAGCCAAAAGCTTTCATTTTTAGTTCTTAGAGTTTTATAACTTCCATTTATCCTCATAATTTGTAAATAATGCATTTATGCCACATGATCTAATGTTATTATTTTCCCGATAACATAAATAGCTTCCAAAGGTCATCTCTGCAAAAGGGGAAGGATTGAGTGGTTGTCTCCAACCACCACGTCCTGACTACAGGCAGTCTTTACAACAAGGATAAAAAATAAAGACACAAAATTAAAGATAATCCTCTCGACCTTTGAGCTCCCCAACCACCACAGCAGTAGTGATCACTGCACAAAATCTTGAAGATTTTATGAAACAAAAACAGAGAGGCTTCTTTGATACACTGTACACTGGGAATTCCCGCTGTTAATGTTCGTGTCCGGGACCCCAGGATTCCCACTGGAAATTTTCGCTTCTGTTTTCCACACGCTCAGCTGAGCTGCACCCTGCTTTCCTCTGTTAATCTCGCATCCCAACTTCCTTCCTCCCCAGTAGAACAGGTGCCACGATGAAACCCAGTGAAGAGAAAGTTAGTTTCTTACTACTGTCTACAAAATAAAGATTTCTCCACGTTTTACATTTTTCAAAGGGTATCAGGCACACCACCTGGGTGAAGAATTCAAATACAACGCAGACTTTCCCTAACACACACAGACAACGTAACCTCATCGTGTCTACCCTCATATTAATCAGAAAAACAACTTTTTTCATTACACAGGAGTATATCTACACCAAATGATGATGATCAGTTTGAACTGGAATCTTTTTCATTAAAAGAGTGCAAGTTCTCAGGCCACAAAACCCAAGATTTCAGGAAACAGGATGGTCTACACACACACACACACACACACACACACAAACATTAGAAATATGACTCAGGAGAGTAATGGAGTTAAAAAGATGCAGGAAAGGAAGATGAAAATGATTTCTTTCCTCTCTCCTGGTCTTTCCTTTTCAAGTCTTCAAAAAAGAGCAGGCCCCTTAAACCTGCCGTTAGGTGATGAAGCACCTTCCAGCAACTGGCCCGGGACACGAGGGGTTCCACCTGTTTTCCCAGGCAGATTAGAACACCGTTGTCTAGGAAGAGCTTTAACTCCATTCCACCCACACTCTGCTCTCTCCGACAGGCGGTAAAATATGTCCACAGGAGCCAGCAGGTGATAGGCTCTGGAGACCCTTCTGGAAATTTCCAACTGGACGTTGATATTTCAGGGTTAATCTTCACGCATCATCCCTGTTTCAGCCGAGAGCACGTTTTGGCAGCCAAGCTGGCCCAGTTGTACGATCAGTACGTGGCAAGGCAGCAGAGAAACAAGGCGAAATTTCTTACTGATAAGGTACGTGTGTGTGGTTCGCTCTTGCTGTTGGTGGCTTTGTTCTGCTGATGCAAATTCTCCCCGAAATCACCTCTTGTGGGTGCTCCCTCTGTCCGAGATGTGTAATACCTTGTCCCATCAGAGATGGTGTACATTTAATACGTGCAAATTCAGCGGCAACCCCCTGCCTAAAAGAGAAAGATTTAGATAAACAGCACAGGCGATCACACCTTCCAAGCAGGTACTAGACGGTAGACATGTGACAATGACTTGCTTATGTGGGCTCAGATCCTGAGGCCCCTGGTAACTGGAGAATCCTCTGACTCAGAGACATTTCCATTTTCGTGTGTATTTCCCCACAGAGTGGCACCTAGACATCGTTCAACTGATGCTCAATGAAATGGGCTGTCTGGCTGGATTGATTCCCCACGTGACACCATCCCTGGTCACTTTGACCATGTGCCATTTTAGTCTCATTCTCCAACTTTAGAACTTTACTGCCCAAATAAGAGATAACTTTACAGTGCCTCCTCTTGTAGCCTGATTATGTGGGCCGCAGACCAAAGAAGACATATGCTACTTGTCATTATTCCAGTTCTTTTAAGAACAGATTAAATGGTTCTCTGTCACAGTGACAGAAGTTGGAGACAGCTGAGTGCTTGAACATCCATTCAGACTGCTGGCACCCATTTTGCCCAGAGAGGGGGTGTGGTCTACTCACATTGCTTGTGGTGGTAGGGAATAGAGTTTCTAACTCAGAATTTGTATTCATATCTTGTTAAGCTCCAAGCTCTAAGGAATGCTGTTCAGACTGGCCTTAATCCAGAAAAACCTCATCAATCTCTTGATATGAACCAGAAGACCATCAATGAGTATAAAGCTGAAATCCGGTAAGCAGAGTCTGTGATTGTAACTAAGCCTCTTTCCCCTGTTAGATACGTGCTGGCTTAGAGTTTATTTTTCCAGATAGCATTTCTGAATGCACTGAACGCGTGTGAAATTATGCCAAATAAAACAAGCAGATACATCCATCGTGTTAATAATTCAACATTTGGAATCTGACGATATGAATGAGGATGTGGGGAAATGGTTGCTCCCCTCCTCTGCAAGTGTGGGTGAAAATTGCTGCAACCATCACTCTTGGCCGTAGACCAGTGAAGTGCTGAAAATGCCCATCAGCTTGGACCCGGCAATTCTTCCTCGGATGTCTATACTCTTTTTTATTTTTTTATTAAGTCTTTCATACATAGATCATACATACATTAATGCCATTATAGGATTCAATGTGTTGATTATTTGTACAAAGTGGAATGCTTACATCCTACTAAACAACATAGCCTTCAACACTTACCCAATTACAAGATTAAGACATTTATGCTCTACACCTGATAGATCCGACCTGTACTTGCAATATGCTCCATAGGTGTGGCCCTGTACTCTCAAGGAGCTTTGCCTATGTGTGCAGCCTCCTTGTGAGAATAATTTTTATTTTAGCATGTGTTGAATAAGAGAAAGGTGACAAAAATCTGTTCTGAAAACAATCCTGGTTTGATACAACATTGCATTCAGTAATCACTATGTGAAAAACAGTAGGACTGTGTGTGAGGCCTACAGATGAACCCAGTGGACTCACTGATGGCAGAGATGCAACCTCTGAGACTCAGCATTTATGACCCAGTGAAGAGGGCATGTTGGTCCTTCCGTGACTTGTCACTAGGGGTGAGACAGTTTCAAGGCAGACAACCTGTTCCCAAACCTCTCACTCTGTGGCCTGCTCCCTCACCCCTGTGGGATCTGATCAGCTGCCCCAGAGCCACTGCCCCAGCCCCTGCTGAGGCCCCGCTGCTCCCTTAGCCTGGGCCGGCACCGCTCCACACATCCCACTGTATTTCCCATCCCAGCACCTGCTGAGGCCCCCCTGCTCCCTTAGCCTGGGCGGCACCACTCCGCACATCCCACTTTATTTCCC